AGTTGCATGAAAAAGTGCAATAGAATTTCATAATTACAAAGAGGAAAAGATAAGAGTAATGATCAAACAGGAAAACTATATAAGGGAAATAATTAAAATAAGGACATATTTTTAAAAATGCAAACAAATAAGGTGAAAAGAATAAAACATGAATGATTAATTTTCCCAATGTATAAAACAGCTTCTCAGATTGGCTTGAAAAAAACAAAACCTATCAATATACCCCTTAAGAAAAAGTGTTTAAACAAAGTAGTGAAGAAATGTTGAAAATTTAAAAATGGCATAAGAGATAAGCAATTAATTGCATACAGGAAAATTGAGGAAAGACAAAATTAATAGCAGATAAAGTGAATTAAGGTTAAAAGTTCTAAATAAGATAAAGACTATGCAGTGACAAAGGCACAGTTTACAAAGAGCATATAACACTTATAAGCCAGTCTTTAAGGTATTACCAGCTTCAAATTTACTGTTCAATATTTTGCTTTGTAATTCTGGAATTAGAACTCTGAAAAGCATTTCTGATTTGTCAGTTTGCTCCCTGTTGAGCTCTGGCAATAATGGGCAATAAAGGGTTATCAAAAGATAGAAGATGAAAGAAACTATTATTTTTCTTACCATTTGTATCTTGTTCCTATTAGCATCACCCTAATACATCTTTACTCTGCAGTGACATTTCCTTATAGTAGTAGCAACTGACTCTGCAGTTTTCTGAACACCATGTTTATTGTGCCACTTCAGGTAAACCAACATTAATGGTCTTCCAGTTTTTTTTAGGGTTAAACCCCAATCCCAGGAGTCCACTCATCTAAGCTCAGAAATGCCAGCATCAACCAACAATACACCCTTCTTTGGCATTTCCGCTCTGGATATTATCATTGCTTCTGCAGTTTCTAGCTCTGTGTTATTCAAGGGTTCTTGTCATGTCTTTTGGTTCTTTAATACCTAATTAACTTTTAGATTTTTTATATTGAGTTATCTCATTTAAATAACTATAAGAGGGCACATGGGTAGCTCAGTCATTAAGCATCTGCCTTTGGTTCAGGTCAAGATCACAGAGTCCTGGGATTGAGCCCTCCATTGGGCTCCCTGCTGGTGGGGGCTCCCTGCCAGGTGGGGAGTCTGCTTCTCCCTCTCCCACTCCCCCTGCTTGTGTTCTCTCTCTCTCTCTCTGTCAAATAAATAAATAAATAAAATCTTTTTTAAAAAATTAAAAAAAAATAAGGTTTTGAGAAGATGGTCAGGGAGTTGATACCATAGATTTGAGATTTTTTAAATTCCCACATAAAAACAGATGTTACAATTATGTCATATTATAAAGCCAGCAACAAATAATATTTACAAACAATTAAGACAACAGTTTATCCTTACAAGCTTCAAAATAGAAGCAGGTGGAGAAAAGCCATCAGTAGACATGAGACCTGTATCTTCTGGGTGTCTATGCAGGGAAAAGCAGAGAGAAGTAATGGGATATTTGATGGACCTGAGGACAGAAGAGCCCCACATAAACTAAAAAGTATTCACTGGAAATCATGGCAATTCAATTTGGGAACAGTAACTAAAACTGGAAGATATTTAGCATATTTCAATAACCAGTAAGTCTTAAGAGCTTGCCAATTCCCATAAGTTCTCATAGGGCTTCCTCCAAGTACAAGGCTTCATACTGAAGAGGAATTGCTGTGATAAAACAAAATTTTTCAGATTAGAAACAACTGAAATGAAGGAAAAAGAAGGTCTAGATAAAACAGAAAAGGAAGCAGGTAGAAACTGCCCCAACCAAGCCATTACTAATACATGAAAACAACATAGAAAAGGATTTCATAACTAGTTAGAAAACCTATCTGAACTAAATCTAAGAAATCATGAAAATTAAATTTATATAAAAGTAAGAATAAATAAAAATAGAAAACTTTTAAGATTTTATTTATTTATTTCACTAGAGAGAGATCACAAGTAGGCAGAGACGCAGGCAGAGAGAGAGGGAAGCAGGCTCCCTGCTGAGCAGAGAGCCTGATGTGATGCAGGGCTCGATCCCAGGACCCTGAGATCATGACCTGAGCCTAAGGCAGAGTCTTAACCCACTGAGCCACCCAGGTGCCCCATGAAAAGAAAACTGTTGAAGTCAAATACTAGGCAAGTATCTATAAGAAAACACAACAATAATAGAATAGCCCTGCAGGCAAAGAAAACACACTAGAAAGACATACTGAACATACATGCAAATTGAAACATACCATTTCAAGATGAGTTAAAAATATTAGAAAAAGAAGGTATGTAAAAACAACAATCAGAACTAGAAAAACTCAAATTAGCTGACATAAATCTATTTGAGAATTGGTGAATAAACTAGAGAAAGCAAATACAACAAATAATATCTTACTAGAAACAGTAGATTAAAAGAAAGACTTAAAATAACAAAAACAAAAGGATAAAAAGGATTTGAGAGAAAATGACAAATATTGGAGAGAGAAAAAGATTTGACATATGGAAATGGTAATAGAATAGAATAGAAATTTAGGTAATAGAACAAATATAAAAAACTTGTTGAGGGGTGCCTGGGTGGCTCAGTTGTTGAGCATCTCAATTGTTGAGCATCTGCCTTTGGCTCAGGTCGTGATCCTGGGGTCCTGGGATCAAGCCCCACCTCAGGCTCCCTGCTCAGCCGGAGACCTGCTTCTCCCTCTCCCACTCCTTCTGCTTGTGTTCCCTCTCTCACTATCTCTCTCTCTGTCAAATAAATAAAATCTTGGGGAAAAAAAAAAAAAAGAAAAACTTGCTGAAAGTATTATTATAAAATAGGTGTTAAAAGAGCATACTGTTAACTGAAAATATCAACCCAGAACAACCAAGACCAAGACCTATTCTAATAAAATGGACTTAAACAGAAAAAAATCCTTCCGGAATCTAGGGAAAAGAGCATATATTTAGTAAGGGCATCAAAATGATATTACCATGAGATTATTTTTTAGCATCAACACTTTAAGCCAAAAAACAGAGTAACACATTTAAAATACTTAAATGTAACAAGGCGTAAATAGGATAAAGCAAATGAGTAATAATGATATATTCTGTATCTATTATTTTGTATGGCCTTGAGAGAACCAGGATTCTCAGTGCAGAAAAAACAAAGTACAGATGTAAAATTAAGAAGATTATATAAAAACCATGTAGTTCTGAATTTGTAAAATCCTAGAAAAAAAAAATTACCAACCAGTAGCAAATAGTGACCCTAGTTTCCAGACTATTGTTTGGACATAACTTTTTTGTTTGTTTGTTTGTTTGTTTAAAGGAAAGCATGGCTGCTTCAAGAAATTACTTATGATGAAATTAGCAGACACATTCTTTAAAATATAAATATTTTGAAAGATTTATAGGAAAACATGAAAAAGAGAGGAATGGAAGATATGAAAAAACCCTAAAATGAAATATTTATATCTAAAAAATATATCCAAATGAAGAAAAAACAAAAAACAAAAGCAATAAATTAGCTTAATGGCTGACTGTACACTAAAATAAAAGACAAATGAACTGAAGATAAAGCAAACAACAACAAACTTTGAAGCCAAAGGACAAAGAGCAAAAGGGCTGAAAGTAAATGAATACATTGATTCTTGTGACTGTACGACAATATCAAGTATCAAGTAATCTAAAATAAGTATAGATGGTGTCCTAGAAGAGGGGGACAGAAAATTTTTTAATGAAATAACAGTCAAATATTTTTCAAATTTGAAGAAAATTGTATATGCAGAACAGCCCGAAGTCTAGTGAGTCCTTAGCAGAGTGAACACCAAGAAAATCATACCAACAGATGTAAATTATTGAAAATTAATGACAAAAAAAATTTAAATGAGCCAAAGACAAAAAAGGCATTTTACATATAGTGCAATTAATAAAATAAGAATTGACATTGACTTTTCATCAATGGAAAAACATCTTCAAAGTACTGAAAGAAAGATCTATAACCAGATTCTATATCTAGTTAAAATATCCTTCAAAAATGAAGGCAAAGTAAAGACATTTTCAGACAAAGCTAAGAAAATGTATCACAAACCAACACTATAAGAAATGATAAAGGAAGTTATTTTAGACTTAATAAAAATAATGCCAGATGGAAATGTGGATCTACACAGATCTTCTAACAACCCAATTAACCAGAGATTTTCTGGTTAGGTAAAAAACCAAGGCAAACTTTATGGTGTGCACAATAATCACTTTGAATATGAAGACAATGGTAGGTCTTTAGTCATAAAAGAAAGCTAACATGGCTATACTGATATCAGAAAAATAAACTTCAGGTGAAATGGTATTACCAAAGTAAAGAATGGTATCTTGTAATAATTAATGGATCAATTAATCAAAAGGGATACAAGTCTTGAATGTATATTCACCTAACAAACTGAATTTCAAAATGCATGAAACCAAAACTACGAGAAATGAAAGGAAGATTACATTAATCTATAATATGGTTGAAGATTTCAACACTGTTTAGTAACTGATGAAAGAAGTTGACAGCAAATCACTAAGTGTATGGAAGATATGAACAAGACCAATATCCCTTATGAAGGTAGGTGCAAAAATTCTTATCAAAATATTATAAATCTAATCTAGTAATACATAAAAATAATGTACCCTTACCAAGCAGTATTTATCCCAGATAAGCAAAATTGATTTAACTTTCAAAAATTACAGATATTTAACTTGAAATGGATCAGAGATCTGAATATAAAAGCTAAAACATTATGAAACTTAGAAGAAAGCCAAGTAGAAAATCATTACAAAACTGGGGTAGACAAAGATTTTTGATATAAAACACCATCAAAAAAGCAAAAAATAATAAGCTTATCACAATTAAAAACTCTTTAATTTTTTAAAATGTCTTTTGTAAATTTTAATAAATTCTTTAATAAAATAAGGAATTAAAGTGACTGGGGAACTGGTCACAAAAGTTGAGAGAGTGGACATGTGGGATCTGAGATGTAATTGGTTGAATACGTAAATTTCAGGCATCCATGAGGAGATCATCCTGACTCTGTTGACATTCTGAAGTAATGCTCAATGCCAAGAAATCTCCTTGACCTTTAAAAACCTATTTGGCAAGGTAAGGCCATACTTCATCCCAAGGTAGAATGTGAAAGCAGCTATATACCTTAGGACTAACTTAAAATCTATTATTCTTTTGCAAACATCACTTATTGTTTGATTCTGACCTTCCTACTCCTTTTCTTCTTTCCAGTTTCTTCTCAGTCATCAGCTATTGATTAACAGTGCTCATCCAACTCATCCTTACTGAATTGTCTTTCTTTGCTTGATGCTGTAGAAGTGCTGAAAGAGCCCATAGTGATAACTGCCTTTCTTCTTTTCTTCTGTGATTCCCACTCAGGATTGTTTTATTATCCATTCCTAGGTGTAAACCTGTATTATACTGTGTTTTGTTATGACACAGTTGCAATCTCCATTCCTTTCAGAGTGGTCTTAAGAAATGTTATTATTTTAGGTTTTGCAACAGTGTTTTTATTTTATTTTTTTGCCAGTTTTGTTGAGATATAATTGATACATAGCACTGTATAAATTTAAGGTGTATAGCATGATTCAACTTACATATTTGTGAAAAGATTACCACAGTAAATTTAGGTAACTTCCATCATCTCCTATAGATTAAGAAAAAAGAAAAAAGAAAATGTTTTTTTCCTTGTGATGACAACTCTTTACTCTTTTAACAGCTTTCAAACATACCATAGAGCAGTGTTAACTGTAGTCATCATGTATATTACATCTGTAGTACTATTTATCTTATAACTGAAAGTTTGCTCCTTTTGACCACCTTCATCCAATTCCACCCTCCACAACCCACTGTCTCTGGTAACCACAAATCTGATCTCTTTTTTCATGAGTTTGGAGGGTTTTTTGTTTGTTTGTTTGTTTGTTTCTTCAGATTCCACATATAAGTGAGATCATATGATATTTGTCCTTTTTTTAATTTATTTCACTTAGTATAATATCCTGAAGGTCCATCACTGTTTTCCAAAATGGCAGGATTTTGTTCTTTTTTTTTAATGGCTGAATATTCCACTGAATGTGTATTATTTATGTATTATGTATGTATTACCACAACATCTTTATCCATTTATCCATGAATGGACACTTGGGTTTTTTCTGTGTCTTAGCTATTATAAATAATGCTACCATGAACATAGGAGTCCAGATATTTTTGACAGTGTTTTCATTTCCTTCCAATATATTCCCAGATGTGGAATTGCTGGAGCATATGGTAGTTCTAATTTTAAGTTTTGGAGGAACCTCCTTACTATTTTCCATAGTGGCTCTACCAATTTACATTTCTACCAGTGGTGCGCGTGTTCCCTTTTTTCCACATCCATATGAGCATTTGTTATCTTTATCTTTTTGATTATGCTGTGAGGTGATATTGTGGTTTTGATTTGGATTTCCCTTTGGGATATTGAGCACGTTTTCATGTATCTGTTGGCCCTTTCATATATTTTCTTTGGTCACATTTTTTAATTGGATCTTGGGGGGTTGCTATTGAGTTGTATGAATTCTTTATATGTTTTGGGTATTTTATTTATCAGATATATAGTTTGCAAATATTTTTCCCATTTTGTAGGCTGTCTTTTTACTTTGATCAAATTTTTTTTGTTTCTTTGTTTTTGTTTTCTGTGCAGAACTTTTTAGTGTTAGGTGACCCACTTACTTATTTTTTACTTCGTTGCTTGTGTTTAAGGTGTCATACCCAAAAAGATCATTGCCAAGACCATTTCAAGGTTTTTTCCTTGTGTTTTCTTCTAGGAGTATAAGGTTTCTAATCTTCTCTTTAAGTCTTTAAACTATTTTGAATTCATTTTGTGTGGTATAAGATAAGGGTTTAGTTTAATTTCTTTACATGGGAATATCCAATTTTTCCAGCACCATTTATTGAACAGACTGTCTTTCCTCCATTGCATATTCCTGGCTTTCTGGTCAAATATTTGTTGACTGTATACATGTAGGTTTATTTCTGCATTTTTGATTCTGTTCCATTTGTCCATATGTCTGTTTTAATGCCAGTATGATATGATTTGGTTACTGTAGCTTTATAATATAGCTTGAAATCAGGAAGTATGATGCCTCCTATTTTTTTTCTTTTCTCAGGATAACTTCTGCTTTTAAAAACACCCCATTAAGAAAATGAGAAGGCAAGCCAAAGATTGGGAGAAAAAGTTTTATATATATATATATGTGTGTATATATATATATACACACACACATTATATATTTATAATTATATTTTATATAAAATGATTTGTAAATAATATATAACTAGTAAATAAATGCTGAAAAGATATTCATTATCAATAGTCAGAAAAATGCAAACTGAAACCCAGATAACCAAATGACTATAAACCCTTTAATTCGACCAAGATGAAAAGAACTAGGAATACCAAGTATTGGCAAGAATGTGAAACAACATAAACTCAAACATTGCTGGTGGTATTGAAAAACTGCACACTTTAGAACACTTTTTAACAGTTTTACAACATCTTAGAAAAACATTTACACAAATAAGTCAATGTCAAGAAATAGCCCAATAATTTACCTTATTCCAAAAATGAGGAGAAAATTATATAGAATTTCATCCCAGTAATAATCAGTGCTGGAAGGCTATGAAACATCATTTACATTTCCCCAGAAAAAGAAAGAACATCCAAAGAATTTGATACGAAATCAAATTATTGCACAGGTTTAGGCTAACAGATGTTATAAACCTATAAAAATCATAGGATAAATTATATCACTTTTAAAAAGGAAACTACTGAAATTATTAAAAAGAAAATAAGCCTAAAGCTAAAACAAAGAAAAAACAAACACTTGTAGCAAACATTTAAAAAGTAAAAGAAGAAGGGGTACCTGGGTGGCTTAGTCAGTTAGGTGTCTGGCTCTTGATCTTAGCTCAGGTCTTGATCTCAGAATTGTGAGTTAAAGCTTTGTGTTGCGCTCCACACTGGGCATGGAACCTACTTTAAAAAAAAGAAACAAAAACAAAAAACAACAACAAAAAACAAACCCATAAAGTAATTTGACAGAACTAAGTCCAAACATATCTCTCAGATGAATAAATTTACATGGAATAAACTTACCTAGTAAAAGAGAAAACTCTTAGATTGAATCACAAAGCAAACCCAAGTATAAGCTATAGATTAAAGAGATCTAATCCAGAAAAGTTGAAAATTAATAGTTGGTATGGACATAACTGCAAGTACCCACAAAATAAAAATAGGGGATATTTGTGCATGTTTTTCCCCAGTTTTACTGAGAAAGAATTGGCCTACGTCACTGTATAAGCTTACAATGTACAGCATGATGGCTTGATTTCCATGTATTGTAAAATGATTCCACAATAGGTTTAGTTAATATCCATCTCATGTAGATAAAATAAAAAGCAAAAGGAAAAAACAATGTCTCCTTGTGATGAAAACTCTTAGGTTCTACTCTTAACAACTTTCCTATATACCATATAACAATGTTAACTATAGTCATTATGCTGTATATTATATCTGTATTATTACTTTATGTGATAAAGATAAATATAAGATATAAGATAAACATAAGATAACTAGAAGTTTATACCTTTTGACCACCTTCGTCCAGTTCCCCCTCCTACCATCCCTGCCTCTGGTAATCAATTACGATCTCTTTCTATGAGTTTAATGTTTGTTTTTTTTGGATTCTGTATATAAGTGAGATAATACTGAATTTGTTTCTTTCTGTCTGGCTTATTTCCCTTAGCATAATGCCTTTAAGTCCCATTCATGTTGTTGCAAATAGCAGGATTTCCTGATATTTATGGCTGAATGATATTCTGTTTTATATATATATATATATATATATATTTATATATATATATCCATTATATATATATAAAATATTCCATTATATAGATGTAATTATAACTAAGTATAACTAAATATATGTATGTGTGTATATATGTATATGTATATATATGTGTGTATATGTATATATATATATGTGTGTGTGTGTATATATATATATCTCCTGCATCTTTATCCATTCATCCATCAGTGGACACTTAGGTTTGTTTTTATTCTTGGCAATTGTCAATAATGCTGCTACAAATATGGGGCTACAGATATCTTTTCAAGTTAGTGTGCATGTTTATATATATCAATTTTTTTCACATTAATTGTTAGATGCTTATCAATCCCATTTCCTCTTCCACATGGGGAAACTACATTTCCCAGCCCAAACTTCAGTATGGGTATAGTCTGGTGACTGGATTCTGGCTAAAGTAATGTGGTGGACAGGATACACCCACTTGCATGTCTGACAATAAAATGTTTCATGCAGTCTTATCACTTTTTCTCTTGATTAATGATAAGCAAAAGACCCAAAATTCTGAGGGGGCCATAGAACATGACTTGAACTAATTTGCTCTTTTCTAAATATCAGTACGTAGTTGATAGAGTATACTTATTCCTCTAGAGAGTATGGCTCTCCACATAAGCAGGTGACATCTTCAGGGGTGATTTCCTCCTTCTGGGGGCTCTACTTAAATCCCAACTATCAGATATCCTTACACTTCAGGGGAAAGGTAATGTAGAAATATTGCTGAGAGTAGTGCAATATAAAAATCATTTTCATTCACCTACTTTCCACCATATAGAGTTTATGAATCATCGAAGTCTTATACAACTATTAATAATTTCAGGTCAGTCCAACCATTTGATGAGAATGATCTCATTCCTGTCATATCCCTTTGTCTATATAATTTCTTTTGCTATATTGTGTACTAACTCTTGGCATAGGGTTATGATTTGGGGTTCTTCTGGTAGCTGATCTTTTAACTATAAACTAGTTGCCAACTCCTAGTTATCACTTTTATTGCTAAATATATCTTGTTACTATCTCCTGGAACCACTTTTCAAATCTTTCATTTAACCCATATGCAATCCTATGATTTTCTTTCATTCAAAGTGGAATTTTCTGTTTTGTTTTGTTTTTTTCTCTTTAAGATGTAAAGAATTTCTGGCAGATGATCTGGTGGTTGTAACTAGTGATAAAGAGTCAAATTATATCAATGTATTAAAATGTATTTGAGCAGTAAAATAGCACCACATTTTAGATTTCAAAGTCCTATGGAACTGCTCTAAAATCTCAGCCTTAACCAATCACTGTTGACAAAATGATGGATGTTATACTCTTTTAAAAGTTTCCTTATGAGATTATTTAAAATTCCCCCTGCTTTCCCTATCCCATATGTCTGGAGTGTCTATGCTTCATTGGCCCATATCAAATATTGCTTTAGGAGTTTGGGCAATATAATGGCCTCCTTTGTCTCTTAGACCCTTGGCTAAGGTAAAGTTTAAAAGTACATCATTGAATGTTAAATCATCCTCTGTTACACTTATAAAACTGGCTCATATTTTCCA